TCATGTTCAACTAGTTATTTTATTGCAATTTCATAAGTAATATCTTTGCAATGCTTGGAAGCACAATATAGTTAAACATAATTGGAATATCAATACTATAAATTTCATTACCCTCAGTTTTCATTACCCTCAGTAGTTCGTAATAGCAAGTGGATTTGTAATCGCTTCAATATTGATTGATGAAAGAGATTTCTCTCCAGAGGCACTTTGAGATCACGTATTTTCATAATAGATATTATGTTGATTTATTGAAGTAACTTCATGATTGTTGTGAATTTATGATGTTTTGCTATAATTTCCAAATTCAATATTTATCAAATTGTATTGGAGAATTTGTATATCTCTTCTAGAAAATTGACCATTGTTTTTCCGATTTAATTTTAATAAATCTGTTCATTATTGAGTGGCTTGTTATCCTGAGTCACTTCTATGCCAGTATATCCTACATTTCCTACTGAATCCTTGAATTAATTGTAAATTACGCTAAAAGGAATGTACAAAAAAATACTGTGCATCTGGTGGAAATATTATCCCCACCAAGGTACGGTCCCCTACCACCTCTTAGTTTAATTGGGATTCCGCCCGTTCGAGCGCAGCACTAACGCTACTCGCGAGAATTAACACGTAGTTCAGTAGCCCTGGGACCGGATGTGCCCTATCTAGTGTCACACCACCGCACACCACTGGGTACAGCAGGAGAGCACGCCACTGAAATGGTTTTCAGCAACATTTCGTTGAAAGGCTTGTCCTGACTCCTCCGGGCATGGGAATCGGCGGGAACGAACACTTGTGAAACGGTGTGAAAGGTCGTGTTATGAGGATCGATTGTTTCACGTCGTTTGGATTTCGGTAACTTCGAAAACAGTCCTCACCAAGGATTGTTCCAGAGGGAATTTCTAGTTTCTTCTTCGTGATGTTCGAGATTGGCCGGCAACCGCAAATAAGTGAGCCAGCAAGATATTGGAGGCTCATTCTGAAATGGGGAAAAGAAACGGTTGGAAGAACAATGGCTTATGGTATGGAAAGCTTGATGTACTATTTACCCAACTTTTACGCCCATTATATTGTATTGAACTACCTTTTATAAAATACGTTGAATTTGTTGTGTATTTGCGGAAGCTCTTTCCACTTGTAACAACCTGATTGTAGTGTTCACTTTTTATGCATTTGCTTTCCGCAATAATTATGGATACATATTCCATCCATAACTATTGCATTTTAATGTGTAAATTTGAATTTATCCTAAACTTATTTTACATTAAAGTAAATGTCTAATATGCAAATTATTTGAAGTGGCCTCATGCAGTTTTTGTTTTGTTTTTAAATAGGAAATAATGAGGTAGCTCAAAATTTTCATACCAGTTTTCATTCAGAGGAAGACTTTCTGGGAATATTTGATGTAGTATTGGTTGGAGTATGAAGCTTCTAACTAACGGAAATTACCTTTTACTGGTGCGTCCCTGCTGACATTTCACTTAACGGTAAGAGTTCTCTGGTGCAGAAGACTTGTACTTGTGCGGAAGAATCAGACAATTTTTAATTCGCCTGAGAAATTAAGACATTTCCTTAAAAGTATTTTTGTGTCTTAAGGCTAATTTTGGCCTTAATTTGATATTTTGTTCTGATTTCTTGCAGAAGGTTTATGATGAAGGGAAAACCGAAGTTAAAGGCATCACTGTTTCATGACAGATGCTTGACAACATGCAAACAAGAAACCTCTATTGTACTGAGAACACTGAGGAACTGAAGTGAGGTCATAGTAGCAAACCAGGTTTCTGCAAGAATTGCATTGTGGAGGAACTTATAGTGGAAAGTTTATTGGTAAGTTTTGTTTTTTTCAAACAGTTTTAACAGAGAATGTTTTCCTGTTTATCAAGATAAATGTTCATTTGCAGACAATGAAATGTTGGTTCCTGCTAGAAGAATTGACTGATGAATTGGTCACGTCATTTTCCTTCATGTTATTTTTGGAGTGCTGTTCCAGTGGTAAGCAGAGAACGCAACTGTTTAATGTCGGTGTAAAAAGAAAAAAATTAGATAAATTGGAAGTGAAAAATGAAAAACTATACTTTGTTGGATAGTTTGATTTTTAATCTGTAAGGGGCTTCTTCAAGGATTCTAATCTGTAAGGAGCATAAACCTAGAAGCGTATTCATTTTCTCTTAGCAGTTGTGCTTGGATTGTTAGCTTTGCAATTTTTGTAGTGTCTATGTTGTGAACCAAAATTTATCAAAGAGAAAGAGATGAAAAACTTGAAAACTAACTAGTTAGAATGTTGAGAATGAGAGAATTTAATTATTTCCCTCATGTTTGTTCCATTTCAAATAATTATCTTAGATATTATTACACTAGTTTTCTTATATATATATATATTAGAAAACTAGTGTAATAATATCGAAGATAATTATTTGAAATAATTAAATTCTCTCATTCTTAATATTCTAATGGTTTTAGCTACTGTTTGTGGCTTTCTTTAGTTTAATATTTTACAGCTTAATTTAACAATTAATGATTTAATTATAGTCAATTAAGAAAATTTCAGCAATTTTCTCAATGGTCACACCAGTTAATCTTTTTTTGTTGCATTCTACAAAATAAAATTTAATAACAAACTAGACTGCCACATGCTAGTGTATTGTCCTGTGATTGGAAACACGGCTTCTCAATCCTTGTTGTTATGATTTAGAGTTTACAGGAGTATTGGAGCATAACAAAGCTATTGTTACTCGTTTCCAAGATACAGTTGCATTGCAAAAATTTCCGGCCAACCATTATTTGTATATTTAACTATGGTTTTTAAATAGTATATATAAAATGAAAACTGCAATATGTCATTGTAAATGCTAGATTTATTGTGCCTAACGATTACCACATATCAGATAATTAAATATAAACAAATCAATTAATTATTTAAACTCAAAACAAAAAAATTGATTCTCCATAAAATAATTTCTGGCCAAAACAAAAATTATTCAATATATGTTTAAAAAACTTCAGAAGAAGCAGTTACAAAATATTATAACTTTAAATACATATAAGAATCAACATTTTTCATCAATATTTAGTAGCCATACCCTTTGCAGCTATCATGGCAGCACATCGTTGAGGCATTGATTCGATCAGTTTGACAATTAGTTCTTGAGAGATATTTTTCTGTGACTTTTTTCCACAAATCAGCTTTATTTGCAAAAGTTTGTTCCTATTCTCAATTTGAACTCTTGCCATTAGTGCTCTATTGGATTTAAATCTGGTGATTGACTTGGTCACTCTAAAACTCTGACTTTTTCCTGAGAAAAAACTTGTTGAAGGAGCTGTGATCAATGTTTTGGATCATTGTCCTGCTGAAAGATCCATCCTCTTGGCATATTTTTACATGCAAAAGGCCGCATTACATCTAATATAATACCCTTATACTTAGTGGAATCCATAATGCCGTTAATTTTGAAAATTGGTCAAAGCCTTTCCAAGAGAAAGCTCCTCATAGCATGATGCTTCCGCCACCGTTTCACAGTTGGTATTTGATCTCGTGGATCATGTGACGGAACTCTATATTCTATTCTACATATCTTTCTAACTCTCTAACTTTACATATTATAGAACTTCTCCATTTATTATATTTACTTTATTCTGATTTCTATTTTAGCTGGCTACACTATTTTTAGTTTTTTTACCATATTTTGATCTTCCATTTTCGTAATTAAAACTGCAGTATTGTCTTCAAGGTTCTTTGAGGTCATGGGCTATTTATTTAACACACACATCCATTTTAGTATGGTTGATGGTTTTTTTAGGCTGCCAAATTAATTATCTTTGATTTAGAAAATTTAATAACTCCTCTCACTTCATGACCCTGCATGGCAGTGCACTTAGAAATTGCTGTTTTTCCCAGTAAATCTTGTATTTGAAATTGTATCCATCTTTGCTCAAAGATTGGCTGGTCAGTCAGGGCAAATTGGTTGCTGACTCAGTAACACAGGAAAATTCTTCTTTGGTAATGGATTTACTTCAGTTTACAATAAAATGAGAGGGTTGTCCTGTTCTTTTCCTTTGTATCATTAGTTTCATTGTATATCCTTTAAGTCTAAGTAATTTTCCAGTCTTAAAATAGACTATTACTTATGACCAGACCCAATTCCTGCTTAAGCATCATTTGTTACTGTTGTAATTTTGGAAGGCGTTTTTTTCTGTTATTGAGGGCAACTTCGCATGCTTGATTCCACCAGGGATGTTTCGGTTTTTTGGTGAGGGGAATCAAGGATTCGGCAGTCTCTATGATTTTGTCCTTGAAATTTTTCCAGGGTTTTGCGGGTTGTTCTTCCCGTTTTTCAGCAATTTTGGAGTCTTGGATTTTGTGTGTGTCGAATTTTGGAATCGTTGGGGGTTTCTTGTTGAATTTTCTCTTGGGGGTAAATTTGATCTTGATTCGGGAAAGGTAATGGTCGGAATCTATGTTTGCTCCTTTGCGGACTTGTATATCATGAATTTCTTTCTGGTAGAAGTAAGAGATTGCAACATGGTCGTTCTCCTAATTGTTGGATGGGGGAGCGCCATGCTTTCTGTTTCTTGGGGGATTTTCGTAGTGAGGTTGACATAATTTTCAGTGGTGCCATTTTTGTTAGTGAATTTGTGTGCAGGGTAATTGCCTACTGTTTTTTTTTTGTATCTGTGTTCTCTGCCAATTTGTGCATTAAAATCTCCGAGGAGAATTTTAACGTCGTCTTGTGGAATTTTGGACATATCATTTCCGAGTTCCGACAGAATTTGTCAGTCTTTTCGAGTTCTTTTTTGTCTGCATTTGTGGGCGCGTGAACATTAATGTAAGTGTAATTCTTATTCGTATGTTTGATCCTCATGGTCATGAGTCGGTTATTGATGGGTTTCACGTCTTTTACTGAATCTAGGACCTTTTTGTCTACAACAAAGGCCATGCCGAATAGTGGTGTCCCTTTGCAAACCTTTTTCTTAGTTCCACTTTTGAAGATCCTGTAGTTGTAGATAGTTTCTAAGTCAGTGAAGCGTGTTTCTTGTAGGGCGAAATTTGGATTTTCTGTTTGGTAAGTGCTGGTGTGAGATTGTGTAGTTCCCCGGTTTGAATCAGCGTGCGAATGTTGAATGTGCCAATGTATGTCTCTCTTTCGTGGAAGTTTACCAGAGCAGTCCAACTCGCTCTCTCGTACAGGTCCAAGCTCCCCAGAATCCGAATGCTTGGTTGCCGTCTGTTGACGGGTGGATCGTCCACCTGGGGTACTTTTGTTTTTGCTTGTACGAATCATTGTTGCTTGTGATTGATATCCAGCTGATGCTGGTTGGGTAGAACCAAGGATTGTAAGTTCCTGGAGGAGTAGTTGCAGCCGCATCCTCTGGATGAACAGACGCTGACCAAGTTGCCGGTGGTTTCCAATACAGACGCCTCTTGTATTTTCTTCGCTTAGTTTTGGTCCGCCCTGAGTATTTTATTTCCTCAGTACCCGCCATATCTGGGGAGGCGCCCGATTGGAGACTTGCAACTCCGTGCTGTTTTTATATTGTTATATCATGCTTACGACATCACGAAAGACATTCAAAGAAAAAAAAAACAACAAACTTTTGTTAACGCACATCAAAATAAATAAGAAAATTGACGAAGCTCTAATTCAGTATGTGTAATAGAAGGCACCATGAAAATCGGAAAGAGGAGCCTCACCGGTTTTTCTGCCATACTTCATAAACATTTTATTTTTACATTGCGTTAATTTAAAAGTCCAACTTCTGAATTATTGTGTGGTGGATGTTTATGATTATGCAATATTTTACAAAAGTGTATCAATTCGTTTTGGCATTTTTTCGCTTCTTTCTCGTTTGTTTTTAATGATTTAGTGATTCCTCGCATCCAATTGTTAAAAAAACTTTTCAGTTATCTCCAACTTTGAACAATGGAGTCCACTGAGTAAATAATAGATGTATAGAGTTCAGTCTTCGAAACAAGAACGAAGTAGGTTAAATGTATAAAAAGATAATCCAATTGTGTGATAATTCTTCTCAAAAAAATATTTCTTTATATATTAAAGAATAAACCCTTCGTTATTACGAATGTTCTCTACATTTTTTTTTCATCTGATACCGTCAGTACCGTCACCAAAGTTTTCCCAACATAAACGATCGCCTTTTAAAATTATTTGTATTATATCTTTTTCAGATGACATATTATCGTGAAGATTCTTTTCGCTCTCAGACTGAAGACGTCGGAAGGGGCGCGCGGTTATATATAAGATATGTTGTACCTGACAGTGAATTACATTTTGCGCTCCCAGAATGAAACGTTGGAAGCAGGCTGAAAACCTGTTCAGGGCGAATGAAATCGATGATCAATGTGAAAGAGTAAAGAATGACCACAAAGAAGAAAAAATAAAACTGTTAACTTTAACGCTCTTAAAATGGAAGGTCAAAAGGGTGATAAATTTTGGAGAGCTAGGCGCTAGAAGGCTTTAGAAGAGCAATCGGTGATGTTGCGTGAGTGTTTACTAAAGACTAATCAAACAGCGACACAAATTGATAATCTGTCTGAGAACCAAGATAAAAATGATAATAAAAGTAAACATATGACGCTAATATAAAATAAAAAACAAATTTACAAATGTGTTTTCAAGGATTTATAATTATTTAGGTAAATGCGGAGAAATAATGTACTTTTTGTACTTCTGTGTACTTTTTGTTGTTGAAAATAAACAGTAAAAAATAATTTCAATTGTATCTTTTTCATATTACAAAAGGAATTTACAAATCGTTATGGTGGAATAATATATCTGTAGAATCTTGTAACGGAATATACTGAACCGTATCAATTGTAGAGTGATGATGTTAATGAAAAATTTTACTTTCAACATAACCAATAAAATGCTCAAATTCACAAGTTAGTTTTTCATTTCTATCTGTTAAATGGGAATGAAAGTATGTGAGAATGAGAAATAGTTTTAATTAAGGTACGTTAATTTCATTTTATTTATCTATCGATTCCATTCATATTTTGTATTTCATTACCACAAACCAGAGGTTCCTGGATTTTTGAAAGGACGTGATTTCTGTTACAAAACCGTCCATCGAACATGTGAGAATATATCGAACGATTTCTTTAGATTTGTCAATTATAAACAGTATCTTTAATGCGTCGTTTTTATTAGCTCACAGTGGAACACGGCCGTTGTAAGTAATCCCTTTATTTGAAAAATAAAAGAATGTTCGTTTTAAATACAAAACGAGATACGTTGAATATACTTTATTCGTTTTTGAGGGGGGTTTGAAAATATACTGAATGTCTAAACGCGGTATACATGGTAAAAATGACGTGTAAATACGTTTGTCCTTTCGTCATCTCCGTGTGGTATCTTTACTCTGGAAAACACTGTCGCTTTTTTTAAACACATCTTTCGACACTCACATTCCACGAAGTCTCGTAGTCTTACTATTCACCGAACACACACACACACACACACACACACTCACTACCAATCCAGAACCGAGGAACATCAAGGGTAGAAAAACATTATATTAAAATAAACTTTTTTATTTTTTCTCTTAAAAATACACCAAAAAATAATACTACCTCTGGAAGGCGAGGAATTATGACGAGACAAACGAATTTATAATATTATAGAAAAAACAACAAAGGATCAGTCAAAGACAAGTAAATTAGCGATTCGCAATTAGCGGTTACATGTTTGTCAACACTGGGTACATTGAACAAAAATTTCACAATAGATTTATTTCCATATAGCATTGCTGTTTGTAGCGGTGTCAAACCACTAGCATTGGTCTTAACGAAAATAATCTCCTCCTCCTTCCACCGCCACTTGCTCCACGACAGTGACATCGGCCTCCTCGACATTTATAACGTTAGCTTTAGATACAGCCTTTTCGACGGTTACAGCGTTGACAATAGCATTGTCCTGCTCAACGAGATACTTCACGACAGATAATTTATTACATTATTAT